CACATTAAATGGCCAAACACCAAGTTTCAAATGCCGAGGCGCCAAAGTTGCTGGCAGCAGTGCAGAACACCTATCGGCCGCACAACCGACAACAGTCTGCGGCAGTTGAGCAAAGCGAACGGACGTGTAAAGCGGATAGTGCGCAAAGTGTTGACGGTTCAACAGTTGAGTTTTGAGTATCGAGTGGCCAGCAGCAACGAAGCAAAGCATTCGAAGCACACGGAGTGGTAAATTTGTGCTTTAAACCGAAAAATAAAATAATATAGTTGCAAATATATATTTTTTGCGATTTAAAAATAATTCGACTTGAGTTGTTATTCTACTGCTAGCGCAATTTCTGCTGGCCTGTATGCTCGTAACGGATGCAGCGATAGACTGCGTATGCGCACATCAACAGTTGGGCATGCTCCGTCGAGTAGGACGGTCGTTGGTCGGCTGCCAGCACGAGAACCCATATAGAATTTTAACGCGCGCCGGCAAGTGTGCGAAAGTGCAAAGTGAAAATGTGTGCAAGAAAATGCGGCATGCCACAAAGAAGAAAGTGACTAGCCGCCAGACGATAACCCCTACGGCGACGAAGTCGAAGATGACGTGCGCGATAACTGCGGAACCGCGTCGCGGTGCATGTAAACGCTCTATATGGCCCATGAACTTGTTGTGGTGTCTGCTAGTAGTCGCCTCGCAGGTAAACGGGTTAAACTACATCGATGACACAAGTACAGCAGTGGCGGGCACGTCGGAAGCCATGGCTCAGGCGATGGGTCTATATGGCGCGCGCGAACCGCGTTTCGGTGACCGTTTGCTGCCGCTGCGCAAAAAGGCCGGTGCAATAGTGGCGAATGTGACGCCGAGTCAAAGGCAAGTTAATAGCCTCTTGAGTAAAAGTAATTATGTGGTGAGTTACGTGAGTGGAAATAGTGCAAGTGGCGCGGCAGCTAGTGTGAAAGCGTTGGCACGTGCCACAGCCGCAAACTCGACTACCGAAGTGAATATATTGCGCAATAATAGCGCAAGTAGCGTAAGCGCCGCCAGTGTGAGTGTTGAACCGAAAATCGAATTATACACAATGGACTTAGGCGTCGAACAGGCTCACTACACGGCTGCACCAGCGACAACGCAACGCCGCAGCAAGCAGCTGAGTAGGCGCGAGGATACAAATATAGGCGGACTGCTGCTGGACTCCACCACGCCCAGTTTAAGTAGCAAGGATGCGAACATCTCCAAGGCGGACCGCCTCGTCGTCATGTCCACTGAGTTCTTTGTCGTGCCGTCCAGCACACCGTCACCGCGTGGTGCGCACAAGCCAGGCACGCCAGCACGCACAGGTGCCAAGGCAGCCGTGCTACCCACCTACCTACAACCACCTCCTTCGGGCGCGTCCGCTGGCGGACCACGCTCGGTGTTAATTGTAGCTCCCAAGCCAGCAAACGCGACCTCAAACACAGCGCATACGGGACACGCCGCAGTATCGCCGTCCATGGTGCCAACACACCTGCCCTTCACTGGACTGCGCAAGGAGCCGTGGGTGGTGCCGGTGTTGGTATTGGCTGCGCTCACCATGCTAATGATGACCGCCTTTGAAATCTTCGTGCTGTTCAAAGCGTGGCGCACTTCGCCCTCACGTCGTCATCTCTTCCTCGGACAGATGTTGCTGCTGGGACTTTTCGCCTGTGCCGGGCTGGGAGCCGTGTTGACGGCACAACCTTCCCTCCTTACCTGTGGCACCATACGTTTTGGTGTGGGCGTTGCCTACGCGCTGGTCTTCGCTGCGCTGCTTGTCAAATGCGTCTTCCTCATCAGTCTAAATGGTGGCGTCTATCTACCGGCGCCCTACCAAGGCCTGCTGCTGTTATTCGCTGTGCTCATACAGGTCGCCATAGGCACACAGTGGCTGCTCACCCAGCCGCCTGAGATTTACACGCAGAGTGTGCCTATTTTGGGCAACAGCCTGCTGGCACCGACCATAGCTTCCAGCAGCGCCACATCGGCAGCGCAGACCTTCGCAGTGCTCTTTCAGTCACACAACCCCGCACCAACCATTGCGCCCTCAGCAGCTGCGGTAAGCTCAAGCTTGGGAGCAGATTTGTACGCGCGCATCACGGCTGCTAGCACCGTGCTGATACCGCTGTGTAAGACACAATTCTCGGAGCTGCTCTTCTCGCTTATCTACATCGTCTTCCTCATCGTGTTCGTCGCCGTCTTGGCCATAAAATCGCGCGGCATACGCGACAACTACCGCGAGGCCACCTACATCGGACTGGCCATTGGCGGCGCCATACCCATATGGCTGGGTTGGATGCTGTGCGGCCTGGCGGTGGCGGAACGGCACAAGGATGCCTGCATCGCTTTCGGTCTAATCGCGACATCGGCAACTGTTTTCTTGGTGATGTTCATGCCGAAGGGCCGACAATTGGCCGCCATGGGCAAGGAGGGCCTATACGTGGAGGATCGAGAGGAGCAATTCAGCTCGCTTAGTCGTGCTGGCTCCGGCTATTCGCCCTCATTTTTTCACTTTAAGCCAATCAAGTACGGAGTGATGGGCGGAGGCATGCAAAATTCGGCGACAAATACGGGGAACGGCGCCAGCATGAAGCACTGCTCGAATGGGCTGGGCGGAGGAGGTGAGTGATCGATTGAGATTTGTTTTTTAAGACTTTTGCAGTAGTTTTAAGTAAATTTGAGTGGAGGTGAAATTCGACACAGCAGTGCGATGGAAATTCAAATGAAATGGGTAAACTGCCTTTGAAAAGACGAAAAAATGTAAAGAAAATTATGATGCGAGTAAAAGATCTCAAAATTTTCAAGCAGTCTTCAAAGTTAAAAATCAAACCTTTTTAGTGAGCAATATCGGTATACTAGAAATTTAAAATTTTCACTTTTTCTTGGTTATGCGAGCAGTTCTTAGTTTGACCCATAAAAGTTCGAATTTTTTTTTGCTTGCTATTTTATAGTCTTTGATTTTTTGAGTGTAGTTAATTGCAGAAAAATGAAAGTGCGAATATTATTGATTTTGTCAACAATGACATAACACTAATTGCAAATCCCATTAGCGTAAAGAAATTATATTTCCTCATGCTTGGTCGCGATGTCTGAGAAGAAAACTATTTTTATCGAATAAAGAAAAATAAAAAATAAATAAATAAATTATTTTACTGAACAAATCGGAAAACGCCAATAATGAAAATTAATACAATGAACGAAGAAAAAATATTATAATAAAAAATACAGTACAACGAAATAAGTAGAATAAAATGAAGTAAAAAAATAAAATAAAATAAAATAAAATAAAATAAAATTAAATAAAATAANTCTCATGCTTGGTCGCGATGTCTGAGAAGAAAACTATTTTTATCGAATAAAGAAAAATAAAAAATAAATAAATAAATTATTTTTACTGAACAAATCGGAAAACGCCAATAATGAAAATTAATACAATGA